AATGAATGAAATGCGTGGTTCGCTTATTTTCTGTTGACCAATTAAAGCTCCGCACACCGTAACGATCGAGGCCCCAGTTCATGTTCATTTGCTGATCCGAAGTTATTTGTAAAATATGTGTTTTCCCAATAAATTTCACATCACAAAAGACCGGAATTTAAAAGCTACCTTTTGTTCCCCCATTCATTGCCTGATTGCAATACTCATTTAAACTTGACAAAGTTACTTCAGACTCAATCAAAAATAATCGAATAATCAGTCGCGTAGTTTTTGTGTTTTATAAAAATCGTTTATTTGTCGCGCATTTGATTTATGCTCTTCATAAAATTGGTTCAAAATACAGTTAAACTTTTCTAACTTCAATCTCCTTAATGTAAGTACCTCGTTTGTGTTACCTTTTCCTACTGAAGTATTATTATCCTAGCCTAACCGCTTTTATTATTATTTTCCATAATACAATATTGAGTACCACAGTGAATATTCCAAAAAAAAAAATGAATAGAAAATGATGGAATTAAACTTATGTTTGAATAGGTGTCAGTAAGTTCCTATTTTTATATCAATAGTATAATGTTAGAAATTCGATTGTTAATGGTGATTGGAACGCGGCACTGTACGAGTGAGAAACATGGATGGTGGGCGCGGCGGAAAAGAAAAGGTTAGAAGCGTTCGAAATGTGGTGTTATAGGCGGATGATGAGGATACCGTGGGTAGAGAAGGTTAGAAATGAAGAGGTATTGTAAAGAATAGGAGAATAGAGGACTCTATGGAAGTCAATAAAAAATAGGCGGGATAGGTTTGTAGGACACCTTCTGAGGCATGAAGGTCTAGTCAGAGACATATTAGAGGCAGAAACAGGAGTTAAGAAGAGTAGAGGTAGACCTAGATTAGATTACTGTTCGCAAATAGTTAAGGATGTGAGATGTTCTAGTTTTAGGGAAATACGAAAATTAGCTCAGGATAGGAATGATGGGAGGTAAATGTCCAACCAGTTTTAGGACTGACGACCTTATGATGATAATGAGTATAAAGTTAATACATCGAAATTATTTGTTTAGAATTACAAGCTAAAACCTACTACTGGGTTGGTATGTATGTCAATTAGCAACCCTATAAATATTCAGGTTAATAATATTCACATGAAAATGATCGAGCGATAAATCACGAGAAGCGAGTGAGACAGGGTGGTGAAAACGGTGACCGTCTGATGATTCCCTGCCATTTTCGATTCCTGAAACTGGTCCTTGAACTCCTCTTTGCTCTTATAGTAGGTATATGACCTTTTGCGGATTATTAAAATACATATCAACAGTCATTTCCACTACCTAACAATTTATGAGGTAATTGTTTTAATTGGACCAATCAATGATCTTTACAGTTTGATTTGTTTGATATTTTAATGTTTATAATAGGTGTTGTCATATCACTGTTTTGGCACTTCAGGCGACGTTAAAAGACAACCAATATGGCGTACGTCAGCCATTACGTGGATCTGTTCATTCCTTTTGTTTCGCAGTTATATATAATAAGGTAAGTTAATATTACTACTAGGTTTATTATTTAGATTATTGTTAATATTTTTTTTGAAATTATTTATTTATATCAAATCGTTGATTAAATTATTATCTATCCTCTAAAGCAAACATAAAAAAACGTGGATTCGTACCAAGATGTCCGGCGCCTCCACCACATTAGGAAGAAGCGTTTTTCGTATATGACTTTAAATGTGATACAATCACAACAACGTTCTGTATGTTTGGTTTAAAATATTGTTATAAAAGTTACCTAATGTCGTAAATAGCCAAAGGATCCATTAACAACCCTTAGAGTTAATGTTTCTTCTGCGCATCGATTAACGTGAAAAGTTTAACAAGTGTTCAAAACTTAAAATGTACATAGGTAGGTATATATTATGATCTTAATTTAACTTTATAACATCCTCACCCCTTAAATTAGTCAGTTTAGTTAGTTTAAACCCTTTTGGAGATTCGGAATGTTCTTCGGAAATCCTACAGAAACAATGTGGGTTTGTACTTGTAAACGATAGTCAGTAACTAAAATTTCGCAGAGGAATATTAAAATTACGAATTGATAGGATCCGAAACATTCATAATGAAAGTATTAACTCTCTCAAGACAAATAAAAACTGTCCTTATAAATCAATACTGTTTTATGTATTACCACAGTTAATTAAGTACAAATAAAAGTTATGTACACAATAAATTACTTATGAAACAATTTGACATTTAATAGTGGTTAATATATCAAAAATGAATGCGAAAATTCATTTTTCATGTATATACCAACCATAAATTACCTCAAGTTAATGACAACAGCAACAAATTTTTCCTCATTAACTTTCATGGTAATTTATAGTTGGTATATATGGAAAATAAATTTTCACGTTAATATTTCATATGTTAAGCACTGTTAAATATCAAAGTGTTATATATATATAGCATTAATATAATTACATTAGTTCGACAGATCTGTGACCTTTGAGTACGGTTTATTGTTCCTGCTGTTGTCATCTCTCGTAGCTTAGTGATCAAAGCGATAACGCATAAAGCCAAAGGTCCCGGGTTCGACTCCCGGCGAGGCTGTTTGACAACAGCAACAAATTTTTCGTCATTAACTTGAGGTAATTTGTAGTTAGTATGGATGGAAAATGAATTTTCACATTTATATTCGATAAATTACTTAATATATCAACACATCGTTCATAGATGCAGTGACGCAATAGCAGCTTATTAATTATTTATGAAAATATAACATATATACATATACGAATGACTAATGGCCGTACATTAAAGCTTAATTAATTCTCTATTTAAACAGAGGATTTTAAAAATTGAAATATTGACCAAAACATACTAAAAATGATAACGTTAGCATTGAATATATACCCAAAGCCAAGTCTCAATTAAAAATGTATTTTTAATATCAAAAACGTATACCTAAATCCTTTGCAGTTTGTATACCATCGGAAAGTTACCTTTTGCTCCATGAAATTTTCAAAACTTCCTGGACGAATTAAAAGGGTAGGATTATGCAAAACGTGCGTAATTAACTAAATGAACCTGTCTCTATAATACGAATATAAGCCTGATATTCTATTGGAAACTCGTTAGAAACATGGCTGGCAAGGATTTAAGCATTAGGAGAATGAATTAAAGATTACCCACTTCTCAACTTGCACACAGACAACGAAGGCAGAAGACACAAGTGCTTTAACCGCAAGATTGCAGACGTTGCACATGACTACTTAAAAGTCTAACTCTACCAAGCTTAGAAGCCTTTTGAACGGGGAACAGGACAATAAAACATTCAGATGGCGAAAAAGGAAGCTGAAAATGATGATACTAGAACTGGTAGCGTATAAAACTGTTATAAAACTACTACTATACTTAACGTATTCGTATGTTGATTAGTTTTGGAAATAAGACAACTAATAAATTTAAAAAAAAAAAATCGTTACGATATTTTATAATTTGAAATATTTCTAGAATTGTGCAGAGTTTTTACGTCCCCTGTAAGCGACCATAACTACCTTCACCACATCATCAGTGGTGTAATAATCTGTCATGAAAATCCTTTCAGATGGGATAAGAAGTAGAAATCAGACGGAGCCAAATCCGGAGAATATGGTGGATGAGGGATAGATTTAAACTTCAGATTACGAATAATCTCATTATGGCTGCCATATACCGAATTTACTATAACGATAATCGTTCCTTAGACAGCAAAAAATATCTAGAAAATTTATTTTTTTTTTTCTCGTTAAAAATTTGAATATTACGTAAGTCTAATAAAAAAAGAGCCTCTAAGACGACTTCGAGCTACAGTTTTGTAGAAAGACATCGCACGTATCAAATGATATCACGCATACAAATTTGTTTCGAGTATATTTTGCGTTGTGTTGTGTAAATGTATATGCGCGTCTGTGCGTGTATGATAGTGGTAATAATGTGCTTCTGTTCCTTTTGTAATTCTACAACGAATCAAACGTAATAATGTTAGCGGAACTACGGCTTACAGTCCAAACAATCCTTCAAATTATCATTTCCATAAATTCACCGAACGGGAAAAGGCCCTTTTGTCTCTCGTTCAGTTTGCATTGTGACCCGTAATTGCCTGCCCTGCGGTCCTTTTCCCCGATTTTTAACATTTGCAACAAAAGATAAATTAATTAACTCTATTCACAACGTTCTGGGCAAATCCCCTCCAGGAGAATATGTTTGGCAATCAGGAAAACCCTTTCATAATGCTTAATAAGTAGAAAATATATAACCGGATACTACCTGCTGCATATTAACTTATTTCCAAAGTCTGAAATTAAATTTAATATGAAATCGTTACGAATTTTCGAAGATGACTAGTCTTAGTTCTACCGTTGGTATTGTTTTGAGCGTATGCCGCTGGCAATCGATACCAGCGGCACCTCTGATTTCCCGATCTACCCTTTAGCCGCGGACAATAAATTATTCAACCAACAAGATTGTACAAGCAAAGAAACTTACGAGGAAGTTTCCGGAAGTCTTCGGAAACTCTACGATGAGATGTTGTACATTTAGAGAGAAATAATCTTCTATTATAAAATATAGTATTGTATTCTCACACTTTGTTATTACCGCCGAAAGCTGCTTACTTAATTTATTCGTACATAAAGTACAAGTTCCTTTGTAGTAGTAGGTACTTTAACAAATTACATAATTTAATAAAAAAACTAACTATGCACCTAATTTTGCCGCCGTTTACGCCTTGATAAAATCAAATGCCATTCTACTGGGTCAATAATTTAGCATTAGTTTATAGTACCAAAGTTCGTTTTCGCGTGTTGCAAAACAATCATGGCGTTCTCGACTAAATTTATGATTGCTGGATTTAAATTTTACTGCAACTTTTCCTAATTTACGACCGAAGAGCAGTCGCTGCATGTGAATTTAAAACGTTACCATTATAAATAATTAATATTCAAAAATTTTCGTTGAAACGCTCACCTTAACTGAGTCTTCAGGATGTCGAACTCCAGGAACTGTATCTCTATTATTTCGTCCGAACTAGCGACAAAAGTATACAGCAAACAGTCTATATTTGCTGGATAAGGTAGAGGGTGATCAGGACTTTTGAAAATTCCCTTTTCCTTGCCGTACGTTGCTGAGAATATTAAGCATTCACACCCTGCAAAATAAAAGCGTCTATTAATGTAACTGACTGTACCATAATTATTTTCATATTTTTAAATTCTCAATTTTGGCAAATTTTGCAGGCAATCTCAATGAAAGATAATTGCATAAATTTCACTCTTTTTTCAATTACTTTGATAAATTGGTACCGGTTAATTCTACATAGATAAATACATACACCAAAACTAAATCTAATACCAGTTGTACGCTTTGAATGAAGGAATAAAGTACCGCTGCGAGTCGGAGAGATTTATTAAAAATACCCAAATAAAATTGCTCCACCAACGGACATCTATTCAAAAAGTTTGATTACTATTAATAACGCACGTGGGAAAAATAAACCATCGTAAGTTCTATGCCTCACTCTTCATTTACATCAATGTAGTTGGATGGTCCAGCGATTCATTTATGATCAATACATTTTCAGCTTTTATACGATACAGACAATATAACACAACGCAGTGAAACAGCGGAAAATATAGAGGACCAATGCCCGACCTACAGAATATTACAATGCTGTTATAATTGCTCCACCGAAGACAATCCATGAATATTTGAAGTGTTGAAAATGTTTATATACCTACCATTAATAACATTCGTGAAAAAAATAAAACACCATTATTTCAATTTATTTGTATATAGCATAACACAACCCAATAAAACAAGAGAAAATATAGAGCAATAAGTCCTTTTGCACTGCAGCACATAACAATACAATCGATTGATGTACACAATAGTGCATATACATATATATAGTAAAGTTCACAATAAAAAGCAGAACTACCACGCTACAACTTGGCAAGGCATTATACAACACAACACAACACAACACAACACAACACAACACAACACAACACAACACAACACAACACAACACAACACAACACAACACAACACAACACAACACAACACAACACAACACAACACAACACAACACAACACAACACAACACAACACAACACAACACAACACAACACAACACAACACAACACAACACAACACAACACAACACAACACAACACAACACAACACAACACAACACAACACAACACAACACAACACAACACAACACAACACAACACAACACAACACAACACAACACAACACAACACAACACAACACAACACAACACAACACAACACAACACAACACAACACAACACAACACAACACAACACAACACAACACAACACAACACAACACAACACAACACAACACAACACAACACAACACAACACAACACAACACAACACAACACAACACAACACAACACAACACAACACAACACAACACAACACAACACAACACAACACAACACAACACAACACAACACAACACAACACAACACAACACAACACAACACAACACAACACAACACAACACAACACAACACAACACAACACAACACAACACAACACAACACAACACAACACAACACAACACAACACAACACAACACAACACAACACAACACAACACAACACAACACAACACAACACAACACAACACAACACAACACAACACAACACAACACAACACAACACAACACAACACAACACAACACAACACAACACAACACAACACAACACAACACAACACAACACAACACAACACAACACAACACAACACAACACAACACAACACAACACAACACAACACAACACAACACAACACAACACAACACAACACAACACAACACAACACAACACAACACAACACAACACAACACAACACAACNTAGCAAGGAGATCGGGCTGAAACTATAGCTACAAGCTATCCAAGGATGGTACTATAGAATGTCACCTCAAGGTAGGCCTAGTGGCGTCATCTCTTGGTTAGGCCGGAAACTTATCAATCCACCCTCGTATGTTTCTCTGTATTTTGGGATGTTGCATTCTCAGTTTGTTTCTGAGCATAATCGTAGCTAGAGGGTAGGTCGAGGTGTATTCTATCAGACATTAGGTCGGATTACGAAAACGTATAAGCGTGAGAGAGCGATGCGAGACGTCGCACCACTATGATTTATGAAAGGCGCATATTTCAGCCCTCACCGCGGCAAACAGTTTAGGCAGCAATTCCTTAGTATCTACCAGAAACGGTTATTAAAGAGAAGAGAATTCCTGACAGGGATAATAACCTGTCTAGCATGGGATTTGGGAAGTTGAAATCGCGCTGTAGAGAACACATGGAGCAACCGCAAATTTTAAATTTAAAGTTTAAATAAATTGGGAAAATCCTGATACGCTGAAAAACTGGGCGAACACGCCGGATTAAAGTCAAATTCCAAAAGGATAAGCCTTTTACAATATCTAGTTTAGCAGAATTATATATGACTCTATTATTATATTCCGCCACTCCGTCTAAAGATTCAAAACATTAATAATAAACAGGAAGTAGTCGTCAGTCTTAAGACAGATTGGACACCCACCTCCAATTACTTTCTACCTTGGGTCAATCTTCAGATTTCCTTAAAACTAGAATATCCAACACCCCTAACTATGTTGCCAAATAATAATGATAATCTATAATTATATACAAGGTGTCCAGAAAGAGTAGGGGGTATTTGTATCTGCGCTGTCCTTATAACGGCGCGGTTGGGAGGAGTGCAGTAGGGATGGGTTGTTTCACTACTTTTTGGAGATTCAATGTCCATGGAGCAGTATCCGGGAGACCATCGTGCTTTTTGCATACGCGCCTATTGTCGCAATGGTGATCGGATGATGACAGCTCAACGATCATGAGGGGCTAAATTCCAAGTACCATCTGATGACCGGTTTAACTGCAAACATTTACAATCCAAGTCGCGCTCCGTTCGAACCCAACAAACAATTCAAGAAATGAGTGTCAATGCGTGAAAATCCATCTCAATTAGTTCGCCAATGCATTCAAGTACTTGATATTAAAAAACCGTCGTTACAGAAGATTCTGACGAAAGATTTACATCTTGTCAACATTTGGACAATATCATCTTTGGCACTTAATTTTCTAAATTTTTTTTCTGACTCCGTTTTTTCAAATTGAATTTACAAACACCCCCTAGGCTTTGTGGACACTCTACTTTGCCTCTATTTACTCCGGTTTCTACTTCCATCCTACCTCTTCTTATCTCCGTTTACTGTCCTTTTTCCCATTGACTCTGTTCTCCTACTTTTAATACCTCCTCATTTCTAATCTTTTCATCTGCAATATTTGCATTATAACTTACTAGTTCTTCCCCCTGCCCCCGACCATTTTTATTGCACCACTATGACGTAGTGTCGGCCATCATTCTTTTTCAATTGTTTTCGCATTGTCACTGATGTCGGCCATTATGGTTTTTTGATAGATGTATAGTAATCAATGATTTAAAGTAATTGTTTGTAAATAGGTATGCAACACATCGTACACTTCAGCATAAGAAATTCCTGACACTAACTACGTAATACTACTTTGCCCTGGGCTGACAGCACTCATAATTTCTTTTATATATAATATTCTAACTGTTACTATTTTTATTATGTCATGTCCATCATCAACTCCTAGCAGGCGTGTTTCACAAAATATTTCAGATGAAAACGTACAAGTCATGATGAAAAACATAACCCAAATAAAAGCAGCAAAGATTGGCCTTTGATGGTTTTTGGGTTCTTAAATTCCCCATTAAAATGCAAATTCAGTTACAAGACAACGCAGCAGTTTGACAACCTACGTTCCATCTTCCTCACTGAAGTTACTCTAGGGATATTGTCAGAATCGAATTTGATCTTTTCATTGCACTCGAATAATTGATTTTATATTAGATACCTACGGCTTAATTTAAGTCACAGGGATAAAATATTTAACATTCAAAATAGAATTTCCAATAGGTATCATCTAATTAGCGTTTCATTAAAGGCTGTCTGAGCTTTACTTCAAAAAGCAAAGCAATTACAAATAGCGTGCCAAACGGATCCTAATCGGAACCACTTGAGTGTAGATAAGTAACATTAAGAAGAAGCTTTCAAAATAAACCACCAAAAGAATTATGCTAAGCAAATCACATCAAACCCTTTCCCGTTGAACGGAAAATTACAATCTACAAAAGTAAAAATAAACCACCAGAATTATTGTGAGTAGGGGAGAGCGGGGCTAAAAGTTACCGGGGAAAGTTGTTCCGTATGAAATAGTTCTTAGAAAACAAGAGATAACTACATTTCGTTAACTCGTCGTAAAATGGAAGGGTACAGCGCACCGACGTCAGCCATCTTAGTTACTTCAATGACAGCCGGTACTTTGAAAACGTAAACATTTTCATCTTTGTTATTTTTAATATGTCTTACGAAATTCATGTTAAAAATGCCTAGTTTTTCAATGTTTACATACAAAAATATGTCAAATAACTTATTTATTACGCAAAAACCGCATACCTGTCGTCATCTAACCTATTCATTTGAGAAGTACTCTTGGGGTTAGATGTTCCGTTTTTGGGGGACTCGTTGTAACCTCGGAACAACTTGCCCCAATTTATCTATCCATTACTGTTCGCTCATCGCCTTAGTAGAAATATTGTTTTTCTTTTGCTGCATGAGGAAAAACTACACGAGGTTCTATATTTCTGGAGATCATGGAAAGAGTTGCAGATGCAGTTATGAAAGGTGGCCAAAAAACAAAAGCTGTCGCCAGACATTTAGATATTTGTCATATGACATTGTTCGGATTTGTCAAAAAGTTGAAATCAGGAGAAGATAACATTAAAGTTGGTTTTAAAAAAGTACGATTGGTTTTTAATGACGAACAAGAAAAATGTATGTAATTTGATAAAATATGCAGCTATTTTCTTTGATCTTTTGCCAGAAGATGTTCGGAAATCGGCGTATGAATGTGCACAGAACTTCAATGCACCTGATATTCCGCCATATTGGCATAAAAATGGAAAAGCTGGTCCGGATTGGCTGACTAGATTTTGAAAGAGGAATCCTCAGCTTTCCATTAGAGCACCAGAATCGACAAGTAAAAATTTATGTTTAATTAAGTAAGCT